CACCATCTCAATTTTTTACAGTTCGTCCACAACATGGAGTTCAAGTAATCCTACACTCACTCTGAACTGCCCACAAATGTTGCACTTGCTTATGAAGATGGAACCTCAGCTTTCTGTTGTGTTAGGAGTTGCTTCTTGTTCTTGCTTCCTTGAAGACATGAAGACTATAATGAACTGCAGTCAATAAACTTGTCATTTCACTTCATGGTTGTTTTATCTGTAGAATAAGAACTGGATGCTGTAACATTGAAAAAATGCAAATAAAGGGTTCTATTTAAATCTATCATTTCTGCCTGCCAGATGGGCGTTTTCATTGCAGCACCTTTAAACTGGTAACTTTAGCCATAAATAGATAAATACATGCCAGGCTTGAAAGCAATTTTATGAGGTTGGTTGAGCAACATGGGATGAAAAATTTCCGTATATTCGATCGTAAGTAAATCCAGACTGGACTTAATCTTCAGAATTACAGCACTTGAAATTCAATTGATTTCAGCACGTCTCCCTTCCCTTCATTGGCATCTTCATCCCTTTAAATTTTCATGCACATTTCTATTCTTCATACTATCCTTCCCCTCCAAAACCCATCACTCCCATTGATGCAGTGACTTCCCCTAAATCTTGCTCCTTTTGCTGTCCCAGTTCTCTGCCTTGGTCTTTTTGGTGTTCTTCTCCAAGTACTTCATCTTCCTCTTTCAAGGGGCTGTGTAAGGATGGTGGCCCTGAATACCTTGAGGACTGCAGCATAGATGTAATCTTTTTTTAACAGAAAGGCAAAACGAATTCCAAGATAGTACTGCAAACATAAATGTCTAACAGACTCTCTAATGCTGTTCAGTTATTCCAAGGTCATGCTGACAATGTATGAGACTGTGATGAGACCTTCAGAGTCATTAAGAAACTGAAGAACACTAACCTACACAATAAGTTTGTATTGCTAAATTTGACACTGCTGGGAGTGAGTTCCACTTAGTTGATGGAACGGTTAAGAGATTATCTATGGTTAAACTCTTCACAACTTACATCAAGAAATGCTTAACACAAAGTGTCAATACACTATAATCATGAAAACTAGTTGAGATTACAAGTAGGAATCATTACTAAAGTTGTATTCTGCCCCTGAAAGTTCAAGGATCACCATTTATCATTCACCACTCACCAATAGCATAACAGGACCATGAAACGCATTTTCTGTGCCATAGCACAACTATAATTGCAATTGCTCCAGTGAGTGTCAGGACACTCAGACTCTGCTGAAATGGCTGAGTTTTAAGAGGTTCTTAATAATGAGAAGCCAAAGAAAACAGTTTGTTATACCAAAAAGCTACAATCTATATCCATAACTCCGTCCTATATTGCGTTTAAGTTCTTCAGTTATACTTCACTGTGTATGCTATTTTCAACTATATGACTGTAAATGCTCTCAGATACCAAGAAAATTAAAGAAAAAACTTTGGAAATGAAAAGGAAAAGGAAGCTGATCAACTTCTTTATTGAAGTTTAAAAAACACATTTTTAAATGTAAATATAGAATGGTTAGCTATCGTGGCAACTCAATCGCTCATAGCATCTGGCTTCTCTTCTTTAGTTCAAATTTCTTCATATATGGTATACAATATCTCAATATGCCATAGAAGTAGGCAGACTAGGGTATTGAATAATATTAACATAAATAATTAGGAAACATGTTACTTTCTATATTCATATAGAAAAGTGGAGTTGATAGGCAAGACTACAAGTATAAGAAAATTATAAAATCAACAAAATGATAGTTGATAGGCAAAAAGTGGTTAAAAAAATTACCACAGAAGCAGATGTATTAGGTTTGCTTCATTGAGAGATGCTCGATTCTTGTATAGTGGTCCTACCCCTGATAGTTTTCTTCGTTGGTGTAGATATGCAATTCATATTTCCAGAAGTAAAGCTTAAGGAGGCTGCTAACAAATGTTTCCATCATCACCTGGAAGTTGTGGAAATGGTAGGGTATCGTGGTCATCAAAGTGTTGTCAAAATCGTCATGTTCTTGATAAAGACTGCTGTTTCTCTTAAGAAAATTGTGATAAATACTGTCTGACAATTATTTTGTGGTGAATCAGTGGATGAGAGTGATGCAGAGGTGGAGGAAGAGGATGCAAGACAGCAACCTTTGCACGAGCTTAAACGGGAAGTGCATGCTGCTATAAGTTTTGAATGCCTCTAGTTAATGCTACTTTTACTTTCTGTTTGGCAAATATATCGTACGTGATGTACATATCATTGATTTTGGATACACCAATCATCCCTTTGTGGTATGTTGATTGTACAGCTAAGAGGTGTTCATGGTTTTGGGACCTGTACACCCTCTAGAATCTAGGTAAGAGAAAGATGGATTTCTCTTTCTTTTTTGTTGGTGCACACACCTTATTGACAGAAAAGGAATGGACAGGGTAATTAACACTAAAATGATGTTGCATTAAAAATCGTAAGAGCAATTTCTGGTGCAACTGTGGAATTTCCCAATCCAATGCTCTTGATTTTAGATATAGACTGCCTCAAGGAGCCGTATGCTTCCTCAGTTTTAACTGCATTATTAGCTTGTTGCGTGTCAAAGTAGTCTCCAGGATCCTTCATGCATAATAATTGAGCAACATGAAGATGATGAGGTTCTTGAAGATCCTCCATCTCAGTCGTCCAAGCAATCCTACCAAATCTCTCCTGCACACCACTCTCATCAACTTCGACGATGCTTCTTCCTTGAAGAACAACAGCACCTTGCTGGTTAAGGTCTTGTGATAAAGTACTTCTCCTGCTGTACACCTCATCCCAAAAGAATATCCCATGATCTGGAAGGTGCGTATAATCGTCTCCTTGGTCAGCTTCCATGTCCAAAGTTGGATCAACCCGTTGAAGCTTTCGACGAGCTTCCCTTGCCAATACCTCATCCTCCTTCAAAAACATTGCCAGTTCCTCATCATCGGAGGCTTCTGCTTCAGCTGCAGCAGCATTCCCTGTGATTCGGAGGTATTCAGCTCGAAATACTTCGTCCAAAAGTTTTTTTCCGTAGTCTTACTGGGAACCAGAGTAAGAAATGCCTGGTGAACAGCTGGTTTCAGGGCAAAAATTTGATACTTAATCTCTGCAGTCAAACTAAAAGTAACCGTGTTCATCCAGCCATCCGTCATGGGTTTGGTGTCCATTATCATTGAGTTTCTGAAACCAACCCGTTGCTTTGGCTTTGGACGGCTATCTACATCACCAAACTTGTTCCTAGCTGCCCAGAACTCAGCTTCAGTTAAGACACCACTCATTACATACTGCATATGAAGTTTGTGCAATTCACTGCTTCCTCGTAATAGCTTCATACGGTGCATTATTTCTGCCGTACAGATTTGTTCATCAGAAGAACTAGTAGATATTGCGGCTTCTCCACGCCTAGCAAGCGCATTGGCTGCAAACTCTCGGCATACATGAAGATCACGAAAACTTGCAAACACAAAGATGTAAGTTTTGTCCTTCTCACTGAGACGAAGCCAAGGTGGTCTATCTCCTCCCTCCTTAGTGTTTTTGAGACGTGTAATTTGTTTAAACTCCACATCGAGCGCCGGTCTCGCGCCGGTGGACGTGTGAACGTTTGGGCTGAACACAAACTTGTTCTCTGTCATAGTTAAAACCCCAAGAGTCCCAGGATCTCTCACTGTAGCCTTGTAATTAGCACGCTTCACCAGTTGCATACACCACGACATCTTCAGAGGAGTTCAGAGTATTTGATTTTGAGGAAACGATGTGCAGGTGAGATGTGCTTTTATGGACAGACCGAGGGAGGGATTTATTTGGTTTTCCCATTCCAAGTAGGATTACTCGAATTATTTCCTATTCCCAGTAGGATTATTGGAGAAACCAAGGGAGGGCCTTGTGAGAGATCCTGGGACGCGTTTAGGAATTGGGGGGCCTTGTGCGTTTGTGAATCTTTTTTAATTGGAGAACCGAGGCCCCCCAATTCCTAAACGCTTACTAGAAAAGGAAAATTTTCTGAAAGCGTGTACGAGAAAAGATAAAATTTCTGATCTCATGTTTAGTTTTTCACTCAATTTATATTGCGGTAGGTTTGTTAAAACCAGCGATGAGATTGAAATGGAGAAGCTTAGAGAGTGTTAAGAAAAGAGAAAAGAAGGCAATGTCCGGAGAAGAAGAGAGCTTAGGGAGTGATTTTCTTGGATTACTTTTAAAGGCTCATCATGACACCAACGACAACCAGACGATTTCGTTGGATGATTTGGTCGACGAATGCAAGACATTTTACTAAATGACGGACGAAACCGGTATCTTTTGCTATAAAAAGATAAATAAATGGCAGACGAAAGCAATTGTATGAGGTTGGTTGAGCAACATGGGATGAAATTTTTTGGTATATTCACTCGTAAGTAAATCCAGCCCGGACTTGATCTTCAAAATTACAGCACTTAAAATTCAATTGATTTCAGCACGTCTCCCTTCCCTTCATTGGAATCTTCATCCCTTTAAATTTTCATGCGCATTTCCATACTTCATTCTATCATTCCCCTCCAAAACCCATCACTCCCATTGATGCAGTGACTTTCCCTAAATCTTGCTCCTTTGGCTGTCCCAGTTCTCTGCCTTGGCCTTCTTGACGTTCTTCTCCAGGTACTTCATCTTCCACTTTCAAGGGACTGAGTAAGGATGGTGGCCCTGAATACCTTGAGGACTGCATCATAGATTTAATCTTTTTTTTTTTTTTAAACAAAAAGGAAAAATGAATACCAAGATAGTACTGTGAACTTAAATTTTCTATCAGATTCTGTAATGTGGTTCAGTCATTCCAAAGTCGTGCTAAAAATGAGCGTCCAATGATGCAACACCTACATTATTAACTACATTGGAAAAACCTTGTTATTGTTCCAGTTTGTGGTTGCCAGAGCCGAAGAAAATAAGACGAATAAAGTATTTCATGGTCCAACCCCTTAAAGATTGAAAACACAACATGATAATGCTTGTACGAGACTGTCATGACTCTAAGAAACTGAAGAACAAAAACCTACGCAATAAGTTTGCATTGCTAAATGTGACACTGCTAGCAGTGAGTTCCACCATTAAGAAATGTTTTTTCCATTACAATTTAACACCACAGAGTGTCAAGACACTAACCATGAAAACTAGTTGAGATTACAAGTAGTAATCATTACTAAAGTTTCATGCTGCCCCTGCAAGCTCAAGGATCACCATTAATCATTCACCACTCATCAATGGCATAACAGGATTGTGAGACGCATTAGCTGTGCCATAGTACAAGCATAATCTGCAAGTGCACCATGATGTACTTCTGTGTAGCACAAGTGAGCAGCATGCTCAAGATGTAGGACACTTAGACTCTAGTGAAATGGCTGAGTTGTAAGTGGTCTTTAATAATGAGAAGCCAAAGAAAACAGTTTGTTATGCCAAAACGCTACCATTTCTATCCATAAGCTCTGTCCTATATTGCATTCAAATTCTTCAGTTATACTTCACTGTATATGCTATTCTCAACTAAATGACTATAAGTGCTCTGATATACCAAGAAAATTAAAGAAAAATTTAATGAAAAGGAAACGGGAGCTGACTGACTTCTTTATTGAAGTTAAAAAAACGTATTTTTATATGTAAATATAGAATGGTTAGCTGTCGTGGCAACAAATTTTAAAATGAATATTGTCAACTCAATCACTCATAGCATCTGGGTTGTCTCTTCTTTACTTACAATTTATTAATATGATGTATACAATATCCGAACATGCCATGTGCCATAGAAGTAGGCAGACTTCGGTTTTGAATATAGAAAAGTGGAGTTGATAGACAAGACTCCAAGCATAAGAACAATATAAAATCATTAAAACGATAGTTGATAGGCAAAGAGAGGTTAGGAAAATTACCAAACAAGCAGATGGATTAGTTTCTGGTGTTGTCCCCACATCAGTGATATCAATGAACCTGTCCAAGTCATCATACAGGGTTACTGACAGCGCTTGTGTATTGAAGTTGTATCCATCTCTCTTGACCCTAGCAAGTTCAGCTTCCTACAAAGACAAGCATGAGAATATGAGAGGGAAAAGAAATGCAAGGATGCGTGCATGATGTTACAATTACACAACAATTACTCCACACCTTGTAATAAAAAGACGCTATTAGGCATATTGAGTGTGCATGTTTCCATCTATTAAACACATTTTCATTTTAAACCTATAACACTGGAAGAAAGGAGATCAAACTGTCTGTTGATGTGAAACACCGAGATCTTATTGATATGCTATAAATCAAAAGCACAATGCATAGTGGACAAGCTGCTTACAGGAAGTCTGGAATGCATACAAGATATCTAACCCAAAGAGCATGCAATGTCCAAACAATAGAGAATTCAAGACCCCAGATGAATGAGCAAAACTAGAATTTGACAGTCTGAGGAAATTGAAGACCACAAATAAGCCTAAAAACGAACTCTGTCCATCCCACAGGCCTTCCACTTCCTCCCCTTAACATTTTCAAAAATAGTCCTCTTGTTTCGTTCCATCCATGCTCGGAGGAGCAAAGCAATAACTTTGAACAGCATAATAAATCTTTCCCATTATTTGTCTAGTGGAAAAATGGAGTTTCTATCAAGTATCCAATGTTCAATTTTAGTTCTACCCTCATTTCAAAATTATTAACTCACAATCTAATAGCCATGATTGTGAATTTGTGAGTGGTACCAAACTATGTTCACTCATTGTTGATGATACATTAAACAAAACATTAATTGACAATGAACAAACCACAGAAAAATACATAAATTAACACAAAACGAAATTAAGGGTACCTGACGAGAACTGAACTCTATAAAACAACGACCCAAGGTTTTCTGGTTCAGGGGATTAAGAGGCATCGAAAACCCATCTTCTTTAATAACACCAACTTCACTAAACACTCGTCGGATTTCGCTTTCGAGCTGCTGGGCCATCTCCGCCTTCACAATCGGAAGGTTATCAACGACGATCACATTTCCGAACCCAATATTGAAAAGCAAACCGTCGTCGTCGTAGAACACTTCTTGGCCATCACTGTGAATCATAAACAAAACAAGAAAACATCATCAGTTGAATCAGAGTTTCGAGTTTTGAGGGTCGAAATCGTACAGTGGGGAAAGAAAAAGGAGTTTTTGGATTGTACCCAAAATTGTTCTCAGTATTATTATTATGTAAGTCTTGGTTAAGAGGTGGAGCTGCAGAGTTGAAGTGGAGGGAGGAGAGTTGGAGACGGAGCTCCTCGGCCTCGGCCTGGATGTCTTCCATGGTGGCGGTGTCTATTGTCATGCTTCTTACTGAGAAGCAGAGCTCTTTATGCTTTTCTATTGTCACGCGTGCGCGGTTGATGCGTTGGAAGACCCTGTGCGAATTTCATGATAGGGGAATAACACTGAGAAAAGTATTCTAGTGAATAAGGTTACAACAAGCGTGATATTTATCATAGTATTATTAGTTGGATAGCAAAATAGTGATATCCTGTTGCGTTTAAGTTTTTTATTTTGGGTTGAATTGTTGCCTATAAATTTTTCTTGTGCGACTAGCAGAAAAAAGGGAATGACACTGTTTTAATCGGGTGTCAATCACACAATGACAAGTATCAAAGTTATCACTTATGGCAACACAAGTGTTTCTCGTGAGACTAATGCTAACATTGCTCATTTGTTATTTGAAACAAATTAATGATTTTGTTTGATTTAGTTAAGTACCATTGTTGTTCAAGTGTTTTGCTGAAATTTTATTTTGGGTTAACAAATTGCAATGTACGAACTAAATTGGTCAAATTAAAAACGTAAGGACGAAATTAAATGTATCGTGCAAAGCATGGATAAAAAAATTATTTAAATCATAAAATATTGTTATAAGAGCAGATAAGGGGTATCAAATGTTATAACTCTTAGAACATTAAAAAGAGACATGTCACTAGACAAAGTGTTAGTTAAGAAACCCTAAATTAAGGTTGAAGATATATGCGCTACAAAAACCATGGACCAGAGTATTTCAATTAAATTGGACTACTGTGTTGTGATTTTGTTTTTTTTTTTGTTTTTTAGTACAAGCAATTTGGGGAGGTAGGTTTACACAAATATTCATTGAGTGTCCGAAATTTCAAACCTCTGCCCACATAAGTGGAGATGAAAGAGCTCAACCAATTGAGCTATACTCCACATCCACTCTTGTAAACTTACAAAAGCTACAACTGAATTTTTAAATTAGGCAACATTAATATATTAATATTTATGTCTTACAAGTCTCATCTAGACCCCTATATTGTTCTATTGCCCAGCAAGATAATTTTTCTATAGGAAACCCCAGAAATTGACTCCCCTTAAAAAAAACAAAATTTTAATTACTTAGGGTAAAACCTCTTCCATTTAGTATAGGAAGGTTGACATCAATCTCAAGCAAGAATGCCCAACTTCACACCAGAATTCGACATCAAGGCAGGCTACTTCATACTTAATTCAATTTTCACATCAGAGTTTTCTATAATGAGATGTTAAAACATATTTGATACAACACCACACTCAATTACAGGGATAAAGAATAACACTCAACAGGGAAGGAAAAAAAAAGGTTTTCTAGATATATAATAACAAGCTGTTATTGCAGGTAACCCTCACCAAGAAATAAAGACATCCTACAGGCAAATACAACACATCTTTACAGAAATCTGGCAGGACTCCAGCAGAGCCGTATCTCAGATTGCACTGTAGCTGTCTTCATCACTCGTTCGAATGTAACACATGATTGCCAGTACAAATACGAAAAAGGACGCGAGCTCCATTGCCATTGCTCCCCAACCAATAACACCAGCATGCTTTAAGATAGCAGGTATTGCAATGCTGCCAATAGCTGAAGCTCCAGTCAGGAACTTGGTTGCATTAACCCATCTGTTTCATCATTGTTAGGAAGCAAGTAAGAAGATGAGAAATGTTGAAGGAGATTTAGATTGAAAGCAATGGATATTACAGTAAGTTCAAAGGGTGAAAGACAAACCCATTATCAGATTCTGAAAGTACAGAAGAATCAGATCCCACAAAGAACAGCAATGGCATTGGAAGAAGCACATACATTATTACTGCAAGAGAACATAGTGATGACTAAACCATTAGCATGCAAGTCGTCATGCAAATCATTGAAAACCTACATAAAGGGAATTCTCTATTGGGAACTAAGGTTCTTAAAAAATGTTTTTATTTTCCTCAACCTGTGTCTGTACATCATGTTGCTAGATGTCAGTCAACATCTAGCCCTATCACTATCCTTTTACCACCTGATATAATGCTCAAACGCTCCTGTTTCCAGTCAGGCCAAGACAAATATGAAGAAAAAAAAAAGTTCTGAAACAATGAAGCAAAGAGATGAGAAACTTTGCCAAAAGAATGTATTCAGATCCATTTTATTCATTTGAGTTCTGGGATAATTAAAGGAAAACAAAAAGTGGATAAAAGGGAACAGAATATGAGTACCCTTAAAGATGCTTTCTCAAAGAAGCTAGAGAATCCAAAAATTGAAATCTTTTATAGTATTGACGTACTTATCATTTCACAAATACATTAACATGTAGCATCACATAACAGCTTATTTGGCCAAAAGAAAAGGCATCGTATAGCAAGTTTACGAAGGAAAACAGCAATGTTAAATTTGAAAAAAAGTAATAAATTAAAGACCCAAAAGTTCAGTACGTACTAGTAAGCATCGGCCACCAATTATCGTACAAAGCACATGCCTGCCGCAAAACATGTGATAGATGAGAACACATAGGATGACTATTAACCTTAGAAACAAATGAATTCAGCAAATATAATTGACAAGAATGAACACTACCCACCAAAATTTGCAATACAATCCCTCCAGAGACCAAAATTGCCAAGGCAGCAAGTTTCCCAGTATGCAAGCAGGCACGCATATAGCCTGGTAAGTCTGCCATCGAGTACTTACCTCACCTCATAGATGGGGAGCAACTGAAATTATGATGTGAATAAAATGAATATACGGAAAGCATAAACTCAGCAAAAACTGACAAAAACAAATAAAAGAAAGCAGTCCACCATAAACAAGTACATGAAATATTCTAGCAGTCATACCACAGGATGTATGTGGTCAACCCAAAGAATGAAACAATGGAAGGATGACGGTGATTTTTTGGGTAAATTGATGATCTCCCTTCCTTTCACTCAAGTATTGTAAATATTCTAAACCAACACTTGTATGTTCATTCCATAGATCAATCTCCGAAGGTTAGTCCCTAAGCATAGAGTGAACTACTGAACCACTTGAATCATAGCAGCCTTTAACAGGTGCCTTATAACTTCTCCAGTAATTAAAAAAAGTGTTTTGCAGTTGAAAAATCATCACAAAATCTACAATACAGATTAACTGTTCCACAGAGTCCTACCATTAACAGGTGCATTCATTGCCCATCTCCTACTTACATATACATACATATAGAGTTCATTTCTCAATGCAAGATTGTCCTAACGTTGTGCGCAATCAACATACCCATGACCCGGATATACAAATATACGTAGCTCTGGTCTAATATGTAGATAAGGTACTAAAAAAACATAACAGCCTTTAAATTGGAAATGGAGCTGAGAAGCAACTTCTATTTCTTTAAACAAACCTGACCCACTTGGGAACAATGTCATGTAGAAAAATTCATATAGTTACTCAATCACAAAAACACAATCATTCTCAGTACTTCTGTGGCACAAAGAAATGAAATCAATTCCAATTAGCAAAAGGTCTGCAAAATAGGATCACAGCTGCAACCCTTCAAATGGAATACAAAAAGAGGTGAATTCTGAGCATAAAATCAAATGCATGGCGATGAACAGATGAACTTCAGAGTTTTTTATTTTATTTTTACATAAATCATTTGTGAATTACAATAACCCATCAAACAAATCACAATCACCTGAATTTTACATCGAAAAATTCGACTAACATTGCTTAAACAGACGAATTATACACTCTGAGAACCTAAATTAACTACGCTCCAAAACGAAGATGCTTAAAAATGTATGAAAAACTTGAGTGGTACAAAATGTAGAGGAAGGCTTACCAGAGACGAATCGGAGGTGAGAGCCAGAAACGTTTAGTTTTCCCCGAAAAGAAACGCGTAGCGGTGGGGGAAGTTTGGATCGGGCGCTGCAGTAATTGTTGTATTTCTATATTAACAGCAACATGGAAGGGCGCGGAAGATGCGAGACAAGACACTCTGTGTCTTTCACTCTACAGGAGGAGGGAGGGTTTACCGTTACAGCTACGCAGCAACACAGTGAGTTTGGATTGGGAGAGGTCAGAGCTATTGTCGGTAATTTATAATTATATTGTTCATTTTAGGGAGAAAAAAAAATAAAGTCATTTTCGGTGGTCTCCGTAATTTGCCCATTTTACCACTTTTGTCTTCATAGTTTTAATTTTATCAATTTTATCTTCATAGTTTTCAATTCGAAGCAAGAATCAAGGAAGAGAAGGGAGAAGAAAGCTTGAAGGGTGAAGAATCAACTCGCGAATATTTTTCGTACAGAAATTTACTCAAACAGTCCACTCCACTCAAATTCCTCCTCATTCACCCAGATTTTAACTAATAGATGCAAATTTTTTCAAAACCCCAAGCTCCAAAATCGCACCTAAAATAAATGGCAAGAGGTTTAGCATGTGTTTACCGTTAGATAGCTTAAATAGACTGAAATACTCTTTCACGTGGTCAAAGCTTAATGAAATTGGGAGGAATTTTACAAAAATTGAAACGTGCCCTTGAATTGCTCAAAATTGAAAGTACTGAGACCAAATGATAGAACAGGCAAACTACAATGACCAAAGTAAATTTTTACCTTGATTTTATTACTAAGTATAAAATAAAAAATAGAAAACATAAAATAGAAAAGTAATAAAACAATAAATATCTTTTTTAGTTGTGTGATTTAGATCCAGTGGGTCCCAAGGAAAATGTTTGATTATTTTGATTTGAGATGGTGGAGATGACACGAGAGAGATAGATAAGAAATAGAGGTATGAGGTAATTAATCAGAATTAGTTTTAGTTGGACATGCATGGTTGCTGGGGTTTGAGTTTGAAGGACTGGTTTAGCGGTCGGTCAAATTAAGAAGCAATTGGTCTGATAATAAGCATCCAAATTGATGAGAGGGAACATTGAGAAAATGCATTAGAAATGATAAAGACAGACAGTGAGAGATAGCGACTAAACGACGGTGAAGAAAAGTTTTGTTTTAGGTAGGGGGTCGGTTCTAAGAATTTGGAGGTCCTGTAAAAAATGAAGGAAAGGGAAAATTTAATTGTAAACCAATACAATCAGTACAAAAAACCTAATCGTATAGGCTATAGGCCGAGCCTGATTTTAAAAAGAGATACCACATTTATATACCATCTTTCTTCTTCGAGAAGGAAAAAAAGAGAGACTTTCTTTACTTTAAAAAAAATTTAATATGCTGGTCCATGTAGTACTTGTCATGTCATGGGTTAACGAATCTCTCGTCGGCTCGATTGACAGAGGGTATGAAACTGTAGTGAGTGAAACCAAAGTTCCGTGTACAAAAATGACAAGAAATGAAATGTTGAAATTTGGTAAACTTCCGGACAGTAACGTGAAAATTTAGCAAGAATAAAATTTCCCCCCATCGTGGCACATAACAAGTTCATAATTGCATTAGAAACTTATCAATAAAAGAAAAGGAAAAAAGTTAGGAAGCTGAGCGAGGCATAAGGCCAGAACATGAAACAAACTCAAAGGGGGCACAAAACACAAAGGCAGACAAAGCAAACACTTTGCTAAGACGAGTCAGAGGGATGCCAGGCAAAAGCAGTGGTTCTATTGCAAGGGGACTTCTTGAATTTCACAGTAGCAAATCTGCACCTGATTGTTTTTCTCACACCATATGCAGTAGACTGCAAGAACAACACAAGGCTTCTTGCTGATATTGGAAATAACCCTTACCAGCTTTAGAAACCATATGAACATGATGGTGCCAAGATGTTGAGAGCCATGTAGAGCCACATTTGGTCATTATTTGGCTCCATATCCCCACCATAGGTCCATTAAAAAAAAAAGGTGGCCAGGTCGAAAGGAACTTGAGTAGGACTAGGAGAATAGATTTGCATTCGATCCTTTGTCGCTAAACACCCTCTAGTAGTCATCCTTAGTATGGACTGAAGAAATCAAAAAAGCTTAACCAAAGTACTCCCTGATTATATGTATAACTGAATCGCATTCCAAGGAAATGCAGAAGGGGAGCAAGAGGGGAAATACCATTTGATAAAATCAGCACGACAAGCATCAGGTTGATAAGAAGGCAGATTAGTTTGGATATCCACTAGGATACAACCAAAAACCCACTCCACACCCTCCCCCGCTCCCTTTGTTTTCGAACCTTTAGATGAATGGTTGAGAATTGAGATCTATTGAAATGCATCTCACCCATTATGTATTTTAGCTGTTCATATCTGATCTAACATTAGGAAAAAATAAATAAATAATCCTCACTTGAGAACCTTTTCAAAGAATACTATAAAACAAACATAAGAATCTATGAGTATTGCAAAGAAAGTTGGTAGGCCTCAAAACTCTCTGACAGAAAGTCCTTCAAATATGGAAAGGATTGCTCAACCCTGCTTGAACTATAAATTGCTCCATCATAATCAACTGAGATTTTGGCAAGGGCAGTTTTCAGCAGTCTTGCACAGAGCATCAGTGTATAAGCCATAAACCATAGCACCCCAGTCTATAGAGCTTTTGATAGAGCATGAAACAAATTCCCCCAGGCCAAATTATAGATGGCCAGATGTATGATAAAATCAAGGTCACCCTGTTTTGTTTCCTCTCAGCTTTCACATCTCTTATTTCTCTGCCTTCTGTTCTATGAAGATTCCAGAAAGAATCAAATATCGTCTCAATGGGTTCAGTCACTGGAATTTCAATGTACATGACTGAAAACAATCTCAAACTGTTCCATGATCTAGTAAATACAAATTCTTATTAGTCAATGCTAGCCTAGAACAACAAAACTCTTATCATTTCATTAGTTTCTAAGACGTCACTGATTTCATCACTAATTCATCAGTTTTTACCTTTTTTACATAGTTTTAACCCAAATATACATACCAGGGTCACACTAATTCGTTTCTAAGATGCTATTCCGTCAATCTTTACAAAGTTTTGACCCAAATATACGTACCTAAGTTTGTTTTCACTGGGAAGATTAAGTCACCTAAAAACTCTTCAGATATATGCCTTGCTAATTCATTGCTAATATATTTCACATAAAAAGGGGGTAAGTTGTCAGCCTCAAATGGGAGAAAGAGGCTGAGATTTATCGGAAACCACATTTTGTTATTTATTTTTCATTGCTCTTTAAGTCCCTCTAGCATCAGGGAGCATCAGAAATTCTAATCCAGTAAAAACCAACGAGAAACCATATGGTTTATACACAAGATATCGGATGAAACCATATAGCATTACAACTTTTATATCAAACCGTATAACTTGGTTTTTATTCGTAAAAGAAGAATTCAGTTACAACTATCATATGTTTGTAATGGCAATCACAAAATGCCATAGGAATTATGATATGAAATTGCAACGGAATCAAACATAGGCAATGATTATCAATTTCAATAGAAAAAACAAAGAAATCAATGAATCATCAAATTACCTCCTCAATGCAAAATGCATATCCAATTCCAAATTGATCAGACAATCTTCCCTTGCTTCATCTACTCTTCTGTTGAAGCCTTGGAGCTCCGAAAACCCTTCTTCAACTCGGCAACTCTCTTTATACAAGCCGCCTTCGACTTCCCAGGCACAGCAGCTGCAACCTTCTCCCACCTCATCGACACATCCTTGGGAAACGCCTTCAGGGCATTGAGCAATGCAATGTCTTCAGTTGAAGCCCAACTCACCCCACCACCATTGCTCTCTTTCTTCACTTCACCATTTTCCACCACCAACTCATCACCCAAGTCTTGACTCTCACTCTCGATTTTCTTGTCATTGGGCTTACGCTTCTTCAAAAACTCTGCATAAGAATCTGAATCAGTCACTTTCTTCTCTCCCAATTCTTTGGCCTTCTTGATTACACTCTCCACCTTATGCTTTCCCCGAAACGACTCGGAAATAACCTCCCACCGTCTCAGCTTCCCTACCGGGTGCTTCAAGAGCAGTTTCTTCAAAAACTCAACATCCTCTTCAACCCACTCCGTCTCTTCATCAAACACCATAGACCCATTACCATTACCTTCGGAAACCTCACGCTTTTTCTCTTCTCTCACAGGCCCATTAACAGTTTCGGCCACCGGTGTCGAATCTGTGCCCAATTCATCAAATCGACGCGGCTTTGATCTCTTTTGAGACACCCTCTTCTTCGATTCCTCCTCTACTTGGGTTATGATTTCAGGGAGGTCGAGGATTTGGCCGTGACCGACGCGGATGTCACCGCCGGTGACTGAAGCGGGAGCGAAGGGGCCGATGAGGATGGAGAGAGCAACCCAGATGAGGAGAGATTGGTAGGGTTCGGATTGGAGGAAGAAGAAGGAGAGACCCAGTAATAGAATTGAGAGTAATATTGTAAAGGCAATGAATGGTTTGTTGAGATTCTTGTAATGGGGTTCTGGGTCTGTGGCTGAAGAACCCACTGCTTTCGATTGGAAGAGGAACCTTGGCCTTGCGTCCTCGTCCAAGAACTCCATTGTTGGATCTCAGAGCTAAGCTAAACAGAGAGCCTCTTTTATATACTAGTCCATGTAGGTTCAAAAAGTCATATGTGACGGCGTCGTTTATGTGACTAACAGCCACACTCAAAGTCGTATAACATGGGGGCTGTCATTTCTTTTCATTTTTACTTGGGTCCTTAAAGTTGGAGCCTTTAGAAACTGTTACTTTTTGAAAACCAGTTAATGCGCGCCTCATTTTGCCGACCCATCTGTTTTACCTTCTCAGAAACCTTAGTCAAAATTCGATGCTTTGATTTATTTTGCCGATGTTATAAAACCCAGATTGCATTTTCAAGAACCCATCATGCAAAACTCACTTCTGATGATTCACAGCTTCTTCATTGTCTTTCCCAAAATCTATTTGGAGAGGCACGCAAGCTGCTTGAGAAATTGCCTGCAAGAAATAGCCATGGCCGTGTTGTTCACTGGACTTCTTTGCTTACAAAATACTCGAGAAGTGGTTGTGTTGATGAGGCTCGGATGCTCTTTGAGATCATGCCGGAGAGGAACATTGTGACTTATAATGCGATGTTGTCAGGGTATGTCCAATCTGGGAGGTTGAATGAGGGCTGGCGGTTCTTTGAAGAGATGCCAGAGAGAAATGTTGTATCGTGGACTTCAATGCTCTGTGGGTTAGCAGATGCGGGGAGGATTGATGAGGCGCGTGGATTGTTTGATGTGATGCCAGAGAGGAATGTTGTTTCTTGGAATTCCATGATTGCTGGGTTGATTAGGAATGGGGATTTGGATGGAGCAAGGCGGGTTTTTGAGCAAATGCCGATGAAGAATGTTGTTTCTTGGAATGCCATGATTTCTGGGTATGCTGAGCATTGTAGAATGGAAGAAGCAAGAGTGTTATTTGATGAGATGGTGGATCGGAATGTGATTACGTGGACTAGCATGATATCTGGTTACTGTAGGTCTGGCAATGTGGATGAGGGCTATTCTTTGTTTCAAAAAATGCCTGAGAGGAATGTTGTTTCTTGGACAGCCATGATTGGTGGCTTTGCTTGGAATGGCTTCTATAAAGAAGCTCTATCACTATTTCTTAAATTGAAGGGGAACTGTGACACAAAACCGAATGGAGAGACCTTTATATCGCTTGTTTATGCTTGTGCAGGTATTGATTTGCCTAATCTTGGCAAGCAACTACATGCTCAGTTGATTGTGAACGGTTGGGAGTATGATGATTATGATGGCAGATTATCAAAGAGCCTCATTCACATGTACTCAGCGTTTGGTATCATGAATTCTGCATACTTTATTTTTATCAAGAATTCAAGTAATTGTACAGCTCAGTCTTGCAATTCCATGATTAATGGTTACATACAGATTGGGCAGCTAGACCAAGCTCAACATTTCTTTGACAATGTACCTATCCGAGACAAGATCTCTTGGACGTCTATGATCACTGGGTATTTTAGTGTTGGACAAGTATCAAAGGCTTGTTATCTTTTCCAGATCATGCCAGATAGAGATGCAGTTGCATGGACAGCAATGATTTCAGGGCACATCCAAAGTGAGCTTTTTGCAGAAGCTACCAATTTCTTTTCAGAAATGAGGTCAGAAGGTGTTTCGCCTCTAAATTCAACATATTCAGTTCTTCTTGGAGCTGCTGGTGCAATGGCATATCTTGATCCTGGGAGACAGTTCCACGGCCTGCTGATAAAAACACAATATGAATCCGACTTGTTTATTAACAACTCGCTGATTTCCATGTATGCGAAATGTGGGGAGATAGATGACGCTTACCGTGCATTCTCAAACATGAGTTTGCGGGATTTGATTTCATGGAATTCCATGATCATGGGGTTCTCAGACCATGGACATGTGAATGAGACTCTGAAGATCTTTGAATCCATGGTGAAATCTGGGACCCGCCCAAATTCTGTCACTTTTTTGGGCATACTATCAGCATGTAGCCATGCAGGACTTGTCCACAGAGGGTGGGAGTTTTTCAATGCCATGAGTAATATTTATGCAATTCAACCAGCTTTGGAGCATTATGTTTGTATGGTTAATCTTCTGGGCAGAGCTGGGAAGGTAAAAGAAGCAGAAGAATTCGTTTCAAGGCTACCTTTCAAATCAGATCATGCTGTTTGGGGGGCATTGCTTGGTATATGCGGGTTTGGTGAAACGAATGCTGAGGTTGCTAGGTATGCAGCCAAACAACTCCTGGAGCTGGATCCTTTAAATGCACCTGCCCATGTGGTGCTTTGTAACATATATGCCGCTAATGGTCAGCATATTGAGGAAAAATTGCTGAGAAGGGAGATGGGATTCAAAGGAGTGAGAAAGGTTCCTGGATGCAGTTGGATTGTGCTGCAAGGAAGAGTTAATGTCTTCCTCTCAGGAGATAAACTACTTCCACAAGTGGATGAGATGCTATCACTTGTATTTGGGACTATTGGTCAGAATCATAAGATGGGTAGAAATATGTGAATATACGGTTAAAAGAGCATCATTTGATAAATTCCAGAGGGGGATTCGAACTTGGGGCCTCTTCTATCAGTGAAAGAGGTTCGTTTGATGCAAATTTTTGTAGTTTATTTTACATTTTGAATCCATATTAAACACAACAGGAGATTATTGATGGAGTTTTTTTTTTTGTTTGGGTGGTGGTAGTGTTCTCTTATAATGATTTACTAAAACTTTCTTCGTAGGAAAATTCAAAATTCCACACGGGTTTCTTTGTTATTTGAAAGAATATCCTCAGAGTGGAGTAACTGATGCACCAACTCTTCGCTTTCAGAAGTCTCTGTGGGGCATCTGAGGTTTGCCAATTATGCCAATTATGTCATTTGAGGATGAGAGCCAATTATGTCACCCAATACCTTCCGATGCCTTAAAAAGTGAGGAATCTAATCGCAGTCATAATATTAATAAAAAAATAAAAGAAGCCTTCATTAAGAAATTTGTGTGATCATTAAGGGTAAGAGGAACTCTTATTGTATTGATATTGAACATAACTCACACAAAAATATAATAAAAAATTGATAATTTATAGAATTTGGTTGAACACTGATGATTACATGAAGGAATTCTGCCAACTAATCCTCTTATTCAAGCATATTCCTATTTGCAAAAGAAAAACATTAATTAATGAAGCACAACAAATCAAAAGATTTGTGTAACTAAGACGAATTTATAAATTAGAATATTTGATCTGCTGCATTTGCATGTCTATCTATAATTAGTTCACTTGAACTCCTGAGTCATATGTTTGTCCAACTGTCCAGTCTTGTGGTATGTTATTCTCAGGAACAACCCAATTCTCATCACCATCTTCATCACTGAATAGCATCCTTATCTGCAAGGGTCCACTTGGGGGTGAGGTAGTTGTCCAAACTGCTCCATAACTCCTGTCCAATAGTTTGCAGGCAAAATTTTGTGTCTGCACATTTTGAAAAAAAGAATTTTTAATTATGTGATGATGAAGATGACAGAATAAGAATAAAGCAAGTAAAGTTGGTAGCTAAAAGATAAGAACATATGACTTGGATTCATATGCAGCTCTCTAATTTCATTTGGTAATTGATCAGATTAAGAACTGTTTCATCTTTGTTTCATTGCTTTCCTAGTTGAAACTACAACTACTGAATTTAATGGTGAGGAGAAAATATACCTCACATAGCTGGACAGCTGTGATATCGTTCTTCCCTTGCTGGTAATATATTACAAAAGCCAAATAGTGAGGATAATTACTGTTCTCATCAATCTTGATTGTAATATTTTTTCCTGGGTAGCTGCATGAAACCCTGTTTTGGAGAGAGAGAGAGAGAGAGAGAGAGAGAGAGAGAGAGAGAGCTACTTGGTTAGTTTCTAGTCATCAAAGTTTTTCATAAATGAATAGCTACATATATAGATAAAGGAAACCATGTGTTTGTGTGTGTTTCAATTTTACAGATTGTTCTGTTGGGACAATCTTCTCTGTGTAACTATTGATCAGAAGTGTTACCACCTCCATTGTGTAACTATGAAAATGGCTTATTTCTTCCTCAAAGTTGCTAGGCTCTTACCGTCGGTATTCGATATCGACTACTCCAAGGGACAGCAGAGAAGCAGCTGCATCAGTAGTTTGAGCCATCCGGCTAAAGGCTCGTTTGCTAAGGATGAAGTCCGTGTTGTGACCGGAGCCTTGGTCAGTTATAACCACAGTTGCTCCTTTGTCTGAGCAATAGCGGCTGTTGGTGCACCTCACCTAGTAAATCATGAGGCAAAAAAATTAATTGATCACAAACACTCAACACTAACACACACACACAAGCACATATTTTCATGCTTTAGGAGTGCGTGCTCACCTGGTAACAAGCACCACATCCGACGCCATTGCGATAGAGGTCGGAGGCAGCTGAGACATCCCCTCCGTTGATGGTTGCTCCAAATGAACCAAACCCACAAGCACCTACTATAGTTCATAACAAAAAATGTTAATTAGTACTAAGCATACACATAAATCCACTACCACATACATAGCATGCCCGCAACATAGAAATCTATTGTTCATTTTGTTTTCTTTAAATAAAAGTCTCTTACTATCCGTTCCTTGCGCTTCAGAATTCGGATAATAACTTGCCCGAGAATGAACGAAACAGTCACTGCATGTTGCAGCCTCCCCTGGAGTTTGTACTACAAGCAAGACAATGAAAAGGGAAAGTTGAGACCACAGAGAGAAAGCCATTATAGGTCCTCACAAGCAAAATGAAATGAGAGCTAGTTTTCTTGCTAGAATGTTATTGCAAGTTGGTGATACTGCATGAAGCTATAGCTAAATGGTTAGTGTATTTATAGTAAATTATGAAGTCCAACTTCAATTTGGTAAGCCTCACTAACTTTGACATTCTTCTGAAGAATTTTTTTTTCTTTCTGAATGAGTGGAATTCTGTTACTTGCGTTTGTCGGCTACCTTCCTAGCCATATTTATTTACTTGATGTAGAATATTATTGTGGAAAGCTTCTTTCTCATCTTTCAAATGTGACAGT